TAGCTCTTGGCACATGTTAACATCATGTCTTTGGGAAAGTTTCCTAAAATACTCTGAGCCTCTCTTTTTTATGTGTAAAATATGCTTAGTATCACCTAGTTGTCAAGATAGTTTTTAAGACCATAGAAGTGTGTGTGTGTGAATATAGTTTTTTAAACCATAAGGTTATCCTAAAAATTTTATTGTTAATATTGGTTTTATGCATAACTTGACATCCACAGGGCAACAGTGAAGATGGGCAAAATCCCCCTGCATGGACCACCAGGGAAGAGCATAATTCTCACACTTGGGGTACATTTGCCTTTAAGTGAATCCTTCCAAAATGATGTATCCTAACTGCCTAGTGTATGGACACTGTTCGTGGTATAATGGAAAAATATTTATAACCTTAGAAAAAAGGCAGAAAGGTGGGTAGCATGTCCTTTTAGTATCATATGAGGGCACAGATCTAATGAAGGTTTATTTAATTATTTAGGGAAAGTCCATTTTGTTTGACTCACTTTGTTTATTATGATTAAATGTCCAAGACTTAGTGAAATGTCATGTTAACATGGAGATATCACCCTGTATTAGCCACTTCTGTATCTAACACAGCAAAATTCGTCTAATATTTATTAAATGGTCCATACATACTCAGTTCTTTAAACTGGCCTCATCATCTTACTGAACCCCTACCTAATAAATAAGTTTAATAAACTTTTTGACATATGTTCTCTTTATATGCGTGTAAGTCGGGCTTCTAATTTCTTAAATTATACTTTAACTGTGGTAAAGACATTTGGTTGTTGTGGAAGTAATTATAGTGGGATTTGCCAGCTGATTCCAACATTTTCCTAACAAAAGAGAGTAGCAGAATGTGAATGGGAAGAGAGATGGATGAATGGGTAGTTGGGAACAAAGAGTCTCTGGAAATTTTAAATTAAAGTATTGTATGATATCACTTATATGTGGAATCTAAAAAACAATACAAATGCATGTATATGCAAAGCAGAAACAGATTCACAGATGTAGAACATAAACTTGTAGTTACCAAAAGGGAAGTGGGGAAGGACAAATCAAGGGCATGGGGTTAGCAGACAAAAACAGATTTCTATAAATGAAACACAAACATCCCATAAGTTCTGTAGTTGTGCTTATTACAGATTGTGGATAAAGATGTTCACAACAGATTGAAGAAAAATAGGAATGGAAAATATAGCATGAAAATTGCCTTGGGAGTTCCCAGACCGCTCTACTTAAAATCAAAGAAAAACTCTAAACTTCTGCCATCTCAGAGATATTCCTTTCCATTTTTATTATGGAAGTGTTGGTGACTGAAGCATACAAAGCCATTCAGTAATCAGCTGAAGGTCAACTCCATGCCAGTAGCTGGGTCAGGTACAGGGATAGAGGTTCCAGGAAGTTCACAGTCTTATGAAGAAGACAGGCGGTGTGCAATGGAAATCTCATGAATCAGCGATATGGCAGCCAGAAGGGGGAGAAAAGGTTCAGGAGAAATTCCAGGAAACGAAGTGATCCAGGCCTCGGCGAAGTCATTGTGTGAGGAAGAAGGGGTCGGCAAGGGCATGATGTGATAAACGCACTGCACTAGAGTCATTTAAAAGATCAAATTGTTAGCAGCCCAGCATCAAAATCAACTCCCTTTTCCTGGGACGACTCAAAGAGAGAGGCTCTGTTCACTCTGCAAGCTGTCTGTCTGGGGTTTTCTGCAATATTCTATTAAGGGGTCAAGGACCGAGTCTAAGCCAACATAGGTGAGGGAAGAGGCACTGGATAGAGAGAGACTTGGTGCAAACTTGGAAAGAATTTCTATCCAACCCTCCCCGTGTCCCTCAATGACACAAGAGGAAGGGGAAAAGGTGTGCGCTGCAAACATGCCACAGTGGTTTTGTCGCTGAGAAAGTTCCTCTTTCAGTAGACTCCCAGATCCACTATTTACATCAATGTAAACTATTACGGAGAAAAACAACAGGGAGAAATACACTCAAAAAGTTCTGTTGAGAGTAAACATCTTATGAGGCAAAATTTAAGTGCTGCGGGGAAAAAAGAAAAATCACAAAACTTGAAGTCTCCTAGGAGCCTTAATCTCTGTCATTCAAGCCCAATGTACACAAATTTACAATTCTGAGGTTGAGCCTGCCGGGAAGCTCTTTTCCAGTTGGGGCCTCAGGTCAGGTACCTAGCAGGACCTAGATTCCCAGACTGATGCCAAGAATCCTTGAACCTCATACTCACATGGAGCACTGAGCTCAATAATAAGCATGTGAGACCTCAGAGCAGCCCAACCAACCTCTCTGGCCCTGACACCCACCTGATGACCCAGTCAGCACCAGTGAGGATGAGCAAGCTGTTGAAAGCTCTGGGAGTCACCTTCTATGCTTTGATGTTTGTTTTCAAAAAAGAGCAAGATGGTATAATCCATGGATTTTCAAATTCAGTGACTGGATCCGTTTGAGAAGTCCAAGATTGGAATGCAAAACTTTTTTTTAATCCTGTTTGCTCCTCCAGGGTCCAGACTCTCTTTCCACGTGTGTTGAATGCTCAGATTTCTTGGTGAAGAGAGCAAAAAGGAGATATTGTAACACAAGCAAAGCAGAGCAAAAAGCCTTCATTTTCGATCCTGCTGCTCTTCATAGGGTCCTTTCTTCTCACCACATGCTTTCAAAGGAGTCACTTCAGCCTTGCCTCATCAATACAGCAGACATATTTAAAAAGAAATATGTTCCAAAACTGTTAGAGGTGCTTCATGACTACATTTCCATTCATCTGCCAAGGAAATTGGAGTGTGAAAGGGAAGAAAACTTATTTATAACTTAACTACATAGGGAAGCAACCAGAAGATTCCTGCGGGCCCAAGAAGAATATCAAAGAAAGAAATCCATAGTTAAGGACATGACAGATGGCACCTTTCGACTCTGAGACGAACAGGGCCATGAGTGTATCCCCAGAATTGTTGGTCAATGAATAAAAGAAAGAAATGGAGCAAAGTTGCATCTAAGGCCCAACTCTGTGCCATCATGCTTTACAATGACCAGAAGAAACCACATTTTGGAAACCTCTAATTTTCCTGGAGGCTCCCAACCGTACACTTTAGAACTAACAAGAGGCGGCGTTAAGGCTCAGGAAGCCGGGCTGTACGTCTCTACATTTGGAGTTGTCTTAGTTCTCCTGTGTGGCAGACTGTAAGTCATTGACGGCGCAAGTGACACGATGGCGGAGACTTCCCGTTCCCAGGTTGTTCTTTCCCTAGAGTTGTGATGGGCGGTTTCTTTCTGTATCACTGTCTTCCGTGTTCAAGTCGACGAGCATTGCCGGGAACTCGTTAGACAAAGGAGTGCTAGGGCCCTGCCCCAGATGAACTAGAATAGCTGGGGGTGAAACCCAGCGCTCAGTGTTTAGCAAGCCCTGATTTGCAACCACAGCACCATTCCTTCCAGGGACACCACCTGTCATCAGAGTTTTTGTGACCCTTTTTGGGAAAAAGAGCAAGCTTGAGTCAACGTTTTATTCTCTTCCATCAGAGCGCTCGCTGTAATGGAATTTACAAGTCTGGCCTTTTGAGTACAGTCCCTCAAGGGGAATGCAGGACCCAGGAAGGCAGAGAGGGGAAAAAAGTCTGACTGCCAGAGAAGAATAACCTGTGGGGCTAAACTGTTTTGTCTGCATCCTGTCTAATGGCACCAAAATTTACAGAGAATAAACTAAGGGAAGAAAACAAAAAGCTTGGAGCTCCACGATCTTCCAAGTTGGGAGTAATTTTAAATTGAGCAATAATCTGTGCATATTTTCAACCAGCATCTGTGTTCCATGAAGTTTCAGTCTGGCTTTTATCCCCCTGAGTAACTGGCCCACAGACAAGCAGGTTAAAAGATGGAAAAAACACTTACTCCATTTTCTATTTCCCACGTATCCTTTTGTACATACATCAAGGGACAGCATGTCACAGGGACACTTCCGCAGAAGCAAGACAGCACTTTAGATGGAGTCCAGGTAGTATTCTGTGCCTGAATTCAAATTCTGACCCTGTACTTACTGGCTATTTGAAATGTGGTAACTACCTTACCCTCGGTAGGACTTATTCGTTCATTGATTTATCCATTCAACAATTATGATTCGAGTGCCTATTTAAAAAAGATTTTTTAATGGGGGGGAGGTAATTAGGTTTGCTTATTTATTTGTTTTTTTTATCTATTTTTAACAGAGGTACTTGGGATTGAATCCAGGACCTCGTGCATGCTAAACATGCTCTACCACTGAGCTACACCCTCTCCCACACTGAGTGCCTATTGTGTATCAAAAACTATTATAAATTTTGCTTACACAGTGAATGAGAATGATACTCTTATCTCATAGAACAAATTTTCCAGAGGGAATAATAAATACACATATAAAATAATGTCAATCCTGCAAAGAAAAATAAAGCAGGACAGTAACAACAGAAAATGGGTGATGGTGAAGGTGCCATTTTAAACATAATAGGGAATAAAGGCCTCTTTTGATAGTTGAGCAGAGAGATGAGTAAATGATGACATGAGCCTATCTGGGGAAAGAACTTTTCCAGAGAAAATGCAAGTGCAAAAGTCCTGAGGCGGAAGTGAGTGTGGAGCAGTTGGAACACCAAGAAGGCCAGTCTGGCTAAGAGGCATAAATAAGGGAAGAGGGTGGAGCTAGATCACGTGGGGTCTGTGGTCAACACTGTGGCTTTGTGTGTGATGAGAACACGGGACATGAGATCCACCATCTTAGCAAATCTTTAAGTATACAATATAGTCTTGCTAGCCAAATACTGTGCAGTAGATAACTAGGACTTGCTCATCTTGCAGAACTGAAACTTAGTATCTCCTCTGTTCCTCCTCCCCCCAGCCCTTGGCAGCCACCCTTCTACTCTCTGCCTCTACTAGTTTGACTATTTTGGATTTCTCATGTATATGGTATCATGTAGTATTCGTCCTATGTCTGGCTTTTTTTTTTTCAATCTTTTTTAAGAGTGATTGAAACACATTGGAAGAGTTTAAGCAGGAGAATGCAAAGATCTGGCTTCGACTTTAAAGGATCATTCCAGCTGCTGTGCAAGAATTCACTGTGGAGCTGAGGGGAGGGAGTGGATCATGGGTAAGAAGGGAACCAGGTGTCTGAAGAGAGATGGTAGTGGCTGGACAGCTGCAGAGGTGATGAGAGATGGAGAGATAGGACATTTTTTCGAAGGAGGAGACAATCAACTACTAATGAAAAGAATCAAGGATAAATGCCATCTTTTGGTCTGAGCAGCTGAGTAAATGACAATGATATTTAGTGAAATCAGGAATCCAGGGAGAGGAGTGGGCTTGAGGGAGGAAAGGAATATAAACCAAGATTGCTTTAGATGGGTTAAATTTGAGGTATCTATTTCCAATCTTTAAATTTGTAGTAGATACCTCATAGAGTGTATAAAGCATTAAATGGATAAAATGGATGTGAAGCACTTAGCACAGAAGCTTTTTGAGAATCTCATATGCCCCACTTCCTCCCACCACAGGCCCTTTGCACATACTATCAGAGAAGTCAGTCTGGAACAATGAGAAGCCAGGGCTTTTAGACAGACAACTTGAGTTCAATGCCTAGCTTTGCTTCTTGTGATTGATAAACATTTCATCAAAGAAGTTACCTAGTTAACCTCTCTGACCCTTAGTGTCCTTATATGTAAATGAAAATAACACCCACATCACAGAACTCTTGGGAAAACTCAGTGAGGAAATATATAATTTTCCTTCAGTGATACCAAGATTTACTTTTAACTGTGTATAACTTCCAATGGCTTTAGTGAAATGCAAATGATTTTTTAATCAGGGAAACTAAATTCCTTCAAAATATTGTGCGCTGCTTTAACTTATAACTCTTGAAAAAATGGTCAAACTTTATTGGCCAGAAAGAGTGATCTTTATTTAGTCACCATTTATTTATCTCTTCAGCTATTTCATTCTTTATTGGAGAAGATATAATGGAAGAAAAATGCAGCAATTCAGTGCTTGTGGCGTATTTCTGATTTCAGTCAAGCACAGCAGCCTCTTTTAAAAGAAAATAGTCAGAATGCAATCTGAGATAAGAAAACCCATTTTGTGTTAGTGGCAAAGGGGAAGATTGAAGAGTTAGTAGTATAGGATGTTGAGAGGGAAAGTACACAACTAAGGAATTTTGTCTTTAATCCCATTTAAGGATTTGTGAGTAAAAAGATTTTAGCACCTCCCTTGTCCATTATATTTACTGAACTAAAAATTGTTAAGTGTCTTCTATAAAGCTGAGTGCTAGGCTCTTTGATGTGTCACATTCCTTATTCTTCAGAGCACAACTGTTTGTTATGATTATCCCTGTTACACAGATTTGAAAACAGGTTCAGAATAACCAAATATAAATTCCAACACAGATGTAAGTTTATCTTGAATTTAAACCAAGATTTCTCTAATTCTAAAGCCCATATATTTTCTACTTTCACCTTCAAACCAATCACATCACTAACAACAAAGATAGGGAAATGAAATAAAACAACAGCTCACATTCCATACATATATATTTTTTTTCTAGGAATCCATACAAGTAATTTGAATTAGAATGTTTTAAATGTAATCTAAGGTTTTAAAAAACTAGCTGGTTTTTTTTTTTTTTTTGCTCTATCACTTACAGATTTATCAAAAGAAGAAGGTCAGTATTTGGGAAATGATAAGTTGAGAAGATATTTTCCTCTTTTTTTTTCTTTGGCAGAGTGGGGAGATAATTAGGATGGATGGATTGATTGATTGATTGATTGATTGATTGATTTATGATTTAATGGAGGCACTGGGGACTGAACCCAAGACTTCATGCATCCTAAGCATGTGCTCTACCACTGAGCTATATCCTCCCCTGCCAGATGTTTTCCTCTTAATTTTCACACAGGGCTGAAATGTTTTCAAGGGTTAGAAGACAGCATGGAGGGCAGAAATGATACTGAACGTGCACAAGATTCTGAGTTCAAACTGCAGTCTCCATCCGCGGGAGTCAGAGGAAGAAGTCATCTAATGTCTCTGAAGGCAGGCATACCATACCACCTCCTCTGTACAGATGAGGGCTGCTTAGCTATCTGTGCAGCTTCCTTCCAGTTCTGTGTGATAAGGATCTTGTTAGGCAGGATCCATCACTGTGACCCAGAAAGGAAAGTATCAGATCTTCCAGCCCATCAAAGAACCTACCTATTTTTTCAGATATTTAAAATATCCAATCAGTGCATCTACTAAAAACTTTTTTCCAGTTTAAAAAACTTCTAAGAAGTTTCCAAGAAAAAAAACAAATCTGCCAAAGAAACACATCACACGGATGGAAGGCATTTCATCAGCATAAGTGCCATCCTCAGTGGACACTTTTACCGGAGGCATGAGGCTGAGCCGTAGGCTAAGTCACAGTGGGCATTGTTCTCAGAGATATGGGGATGGCTCTTTCAGATGCGCTGCCGTTGGGGTCTCAGGATCAGCTGCTGCTGGAATATAACCAGAAAGAGAAGGCATGGACAGTGCTACATCCTGTCCTGAGTGACTCTCGGCAGTTTCACCAGAAAGGCAAAGGAGACTGGGACCCAGTCTATACTAGGGAATTGGATTCAGTCTCCCCAGCAGGCACCAGTGAATCCACTATACCATTGCCTGCTTTTATCTGTCCAGAATAGGCCTCTACATTGTTTTTACTCATTGACGTAACGGAGACCAAAATGACTCAGAATGAATGAATTCCCCCTTGATAAGTGATGTCTTAAATTTGTGGAGCTGTGGACTTTTTTGAGAAAGCCACAGATCTTCTTTCTCTGCAGAATGCACCAAAGTTAAAAAAAAATTGCAAACAATTTCAAGGGCTTCATAGAATCTTTCAAGCCACTTCAAGCTCTTCATGGACTATCAGGATGAGAATGCATCAGCTAAATAAAGGAAAATTAAGTGTTTATGACAATGGACATAACTCAGGCAAAATACAAATATGCTGTACACCTGTTTCACTATCAAACAGGTCAAGACTGAAAGATTGAGGCCCCATCTTCGTTACAGTAATTACAGACTCAGCATTGTGTCCTGCCCTTTCATTGAGTGGAGTAAACACTTTCAATCATGACAGGTGATGAGGGCAGAGAAAAACGGAATGGGGAGAGAGAGAGGATTTGAATGAATGAATGAATGAATGAACGATTTGGGAATTTCTGTTGAGACGTTATTTAGAAAAAAAAGGAGGAAGACAAATAAAGAATTTGATGATCACAACTGAAGTCAGAGAGACACAAAAAGGAATCCTGTTCCTTCCCCATACTAGCTAATTGACCTCGGTGAAGTTCCTCTCTGAACCTCAGCTGTCTCCTCTGTGCAAGGGGATCATGAGAGTGTCCAGCTCACAGGCTGGTTGTGACCGTTAAGGAGCCAGTGGATGAAAAGCGCACGGCACAGGCCTAGCTTGGAAGAAGTCATCACTAAGTGAGGTATTTGTCAACCCCCCAAATCTATGGCCTCTTTTGAGATGGCACTTTCTGCAAATGTGGCAGCCTGCAAAAAATAATTTTGGAAACAAACCAAATTAGAAAAGAAAAGCGTACCATCTTCTTAATATTGGACTAATATATGATAATTCAAAAAAACATGAGATTAAGGTACACGTCAAAAAAGCTTGAAGAAAAGCAGAAAGAGAAATGTGATATTTTCCTAGGAACACACAGTTGTTTCTACTTCCTCAAGAGGGTATATTAACAGCAATATTAATATTAAAATAGAACTCCATATTAATGAGAAATATTTGCTTCCAGAGACCATTAAAAATCAGAGACTAAAATTTTGGGATTGTTTTTTCCAGGCCATGCATTTTTTTAAATTCATAGCTTAGCCAATTGTTTTTACTAGTTAATTTTATGTTTTATTCCTCACTAGAATGTGCTTATATATTACATATTTCACATTTGTATGAGTTTTAAATCCATTTTATTGAAGCAAGCCAGAATTCGCTTAAAGCTATATGATCAATAATGCATCTGTTTTCAGTAACAATTTGTGTGTTTACAGTTGCCTCCACCAAGCACTACTCCTCTACCCAAACAAACAAAAACCTAGGTATGGCTGAACTGTATTACTCTATGTTTACATCTGGCATAGCATTCATTTTACGTAGGTAACATTATTTTAAGCATAATATATCTTACTGTCTAAGACTGAAAGATGTGAAGTTACAAAAACAAATCTTTGGATAACAAGTATAAACTGTCATTTTTTTGAGTACCTGTAAATGAGCCAGACACCCTTGTAGGTATTTGATATAAATAATCTCTAACTCTCAAAATATTCCTGTAAAGAATATATTATTACTGTTATCATTTTGTAGATGGTGAAATTACGGCTTCCAGGGGTATATGACCTGTCTCAGGGCCCGAGCTATTATGTGACAGAGCTGAAAGTCACATGCAGGTCCTTTGAAACCTCACAGCTACGCCCTTGTCTTATTGCCTTTAATGCACAGGATTAAATATTCTTCTAAGTAATACTTAATGCACCAGGAAAATTTGGACAATGTCAGGTAAAGCATTATAACTGGATTTTGTCTGAAAATGGGACCTCCCATTGTACTTTGAATCATATAACATTTGTATTTGTATTATTTATATCAGGGGCCACAGCCTTCCTACTTCATACGGCAGAGACTGTGTCAGAATTTTATTTCCATGCAGAGTAGACACCGAAACCATCACTGAGTCAATGAGCACCTATTGCAGACTTGAAACATACCATGAAAGTGATGCAGAGATGAGATACTCCCCCGACCCTCTCATCTGTCTGGCTTCTCACCCACCTTCCCATCTCCCTGGCGAAGAGGCAGGACAAGTGATGGAGAATATGAAGACAGTGTTTGCAAAGAGAAGTTCTAAAGGAGAGGGGGATATACTGGTCGCAGAGCACTTCCCCTCCCCCGCGATCCCTGGGCTGCGCATGACTTCTCTTCTGAGATGTCTTCAGTGCCCTTATGTCTAATTCTAGTGT